AGCTAAAGTGGATAGAGAGAAATACTGTTAACTGATGGTACATGGAGGGGATTATAATCAATGTAATGAAACAAGGTATATGATTTGTTGAATGTAAAACTGATGATATGCCCTGTAAACTTTCACTCAACCCACAATAAAAACCTTAACTTTAAAAAAAATAAATAAATGAATAGGTATTACCAGATTTACTGAGAGCAAATAGCTCTGTAGAATAGCAATGGACTGCTAACCACAGGGTCGTTGGTTCAAGTCTGCCAGCCAATCCACAGGAGAAACATGAAGCTTCCTGCTCTAACAAAAATTTACAACCTTCGGAAAACCCTATACAGAGTTGCTATGAGTTGGAACCAACTCTAGGCACTTAGCATCAGCAACCAGATTTACTCAAGTAAAATGTATTAGCCCTTCTAATACTAGTGTAAACAGAGTTATTGTGCAGTGCCATTGGAGTTTTAAATAACTAAAAAGTGGTTACTCATGCCAAAATTTAATTTTGCCTCTTATACGTAGGTTTAATGAGCCATTTCTGAACAGACTGGTTTTGTTCTTCCTTAGTTGATTATTGCCTAGTTTCTCTAACCTTGTTCCAGTAAGACAGCTTTCTATCTATCTAAAAATTCAAGTAAAAAATCATTTGTTGTAAACATTTCAGTTATGTACCAAAGAAACTCCATACATTAAGAGAAACTGCTGGAGAAACAGCGTGTTGCGTTACTTAGATACTTGCTAGCACAAGTAGTGCATTTGAATTGATACATTTGAGTTATGGTGTTGGAGGAGCATATTGAAATTCCATGGGCTGCCAGAAGAACAGATCTGTGTTGGAAGAAGTGCAGCCAGAGTGCTCCTTGACGGCTAGAATGGCCAAACTTCAGCTCTCATACTTTGGACATATTGTCAGGAGGGACCAGTCACTGGAGAAGGATACCATGTTTAGTAAGGTGGAGGGTCAGAGAAAAAGAGGAAGATCCCCAGCGAGACGGATTGGCAAAGTGGCAGCATCAGTGGGCTCAAGCATGGCATCAATTGTAGGTTGGCCCTGGACTGGTCAGTGTTTCATTCTGTTGTGCTTAGGGTCACTGTGAGTCAGTACTGACTCAGTGACACCTAGTAACAACAATAACAAGTACAAGTTTTCATTAATTTAATCGTGTCAAATGTCAGTCTCAGATAAATACTATTAGTCAACTAGAGTACTTTTCTGCTATCTAGACTATACTTTGTCATTTAATAAATCAAGAGGGCAGTCAGTACTAGCATTCTGTGAAAGCGTATTTGTTTCCTGTTTTCATCTGCTTTAGAGAAGATTTTTCCCACCTCTTTCCAGATATTTCTGCTATGCCTCGTGGTACTCCATTATATGGACAACCATCATGGTGGGGGGATGATGAGGTGGAGCAAAGTGCTGTCAAGTCAAATGGCAAACCTGAGGAAAAAAATCTTGAAACTGGAATGTCAGGTAAGAGATCTGTTTAAGCTTTTTTTTGTGTCAAAGTTGTCTTCACGCCCAGTTTCAGAACGTTAGTATTATCTAGCATGCCATCATCTGCAAATTACAGAAATGCTACCAAAGACTAAATAAGAAGGGAATTTACTGGCTCACATGACTGAACCATTTTAGGGTTAGTGAATCCAGTATCTCAACAGGGTTATCAAGTACCTAGTTTCTCATCATCTCTCAGCTCTGGTTTGCAGTCCACAATGGCTGCTTATTGAGATAGATTTCCCCTCAAGGTTGCTTGTGAACAGAAATCAGGGTTTTGTGCTACTTTGATCACATTCAGCGGAATAGAGCAAAATTGCTTCCATTCGACCTCTCAGAAGATGAAAGAATCTTCCCAAAAGGCCTCAATACTTATTTACTTCATTGGCCTCTCACAGGTTCAGGATTAGGTCACTTGTTTATTTCTGAATCAGTCCCTGGAGAGGAATATGAGAATATCCTTAAATCAGTCTTGTTCACCCTGAAGCCAAGGACAGGGGATTTGTTATCCTCACATCCATGTGAGCTGTGTCAGGGAAGAGTGGATAATGTTTAGAAGGAAGAATAGGAAATGGATATTGGAAGTCAATCAGGAATGTACACTTTATTTGAAATCTTTATCTCTTCTGTTCCACTCCCCTCATTTGTCTAGATACATTACCTCTATCAATCGGGCTGCAAACCGCAAGGTCAGCAGTTCGAAACTTCCAGCTGTTATGCGGGAGAAAGATGAGGCGTTCTGCTCCTGTAAAAATTTATAGCCTCGGAAACCCTGTACAGGGTCGCTATGAGTCAGAACCGACTCCACAGCACATAACAACAACATCTGTTGTCATCTATTGTTGAACTTCCTACTTCGATTTTCAAGGCTCTTAGGGTTTATTTTGTATAACAAATCTAAATTGTCCTTTGTTTCCTTTTTCAAAAAACTTGTTGTTGTTGTTAAGTGCCGTGGAGTCGGTTCCGACCCATAGCAACCCTGTACAGGGTTTCTGAGGGTATACATCTTTACGAGAGTAGAAAGCCTCATCTTTCTCCTGCAGAGCGGCTGGTAGTTTCAAACTGCTGACCTTAAGGTTCGCAGCCCGATTCATAACCACTACTTTTTGCCTGCCAAACAGATTTTAAACTTTTCTTCATTTTTTAAAAATACAGGTTTTAAATTTTTATTCTGAATTGGATGATGGTCTGCCAAGCAGTTTTCCATTCAGTAATTCATACACGTCTTGTTTCATGTCACTGATTGCAATCCCATTGTAACATCGCTCATCCTACATCCTCCCTGTGTTTCCTGTCTCCTAGTCTGCTTTCCTAACTCTTCTGAACTTTGTCCTTGGGTAAATGCTGCCCTCCTGATCTAATGTTGATTCTTCTAAGGAATGCATACCCCTAGTGCGATTGTTCCCCTTATGATCTGTCATGGTTGGCTGGAGATTAAACCATGTAAATGAGTTCAGTTGTAGACCTGAAGGGGGTAACTAAGGGCTTGAATCTCAAGGGTCCCACCAAGTTCTGGCTAACCATAAATCCTGGGTTTTTTGTTTGTTTTTTTTTAATGATTTTAAGTTTTGTTCCATATTTTCTCCCACTTTATCTAGGACCTTCTAGGACCAACTACCCTTTCAGAGCAGTTGTAGCTGGGCACCATCTAGTCTTCTGGTCTCAGAGTTGTGGAGACTGATGTTTGAGTGATTGTTTCCTTGAACCTTTCATTTTTTTTCACTCTTCTTACTTTCAGACAGGGTAGACCATTAGTTCTATCTTAGCCTCTCATGAGTTTAAGAAAAAACCCCAAACTTTTAAAGCCTATTTTCAATCTTCTAATTTTGTCCTACTTTCCCCACTTTCCCTGACAAACCTTATGTTATTGTTGTTGTATGCCATTGAGTTGGTTCCGACCCACAGTAACCCTGTATTGGTGGTAGTGGTTATTGAAAGAATCCCTCATCCACATGTATAATAAAATGGCTGCTTGCTGCGCTTTCTCTCTCCCTACCGGAACTTCCTCTCTTCCTACTGGTACTTTCTCTCTCCCTACCAGCAAAGATGAGGCTTTCTGCTCCCATAAAGATTTACAGCCTCGGAAACCCTGTTCAGGGTCGCTATGGGTCTGAACCGACTCGATGGCACTTAACTTAACAACCAGCAAGTCATCCCTAGTCAACCTATCACCTACCTCCACTAATCTCAACCCCTCCCTCCTCTTTGACTAGTATAAAAATCCTTCCCCTGGCAATACCTCTCTCTCTTTCCTTTTGACCTCCAATAAAGCCTTACACATGGGTATTTGTGTTCCGGCTCATTCCATCTCACAGTTATGTGCTGTGGAGTTGGTTCTGACTCATAACAACCCTGTACAGGGTTTACAATGTTGTAAATCTTTGCAGGAGCAGAAAGCCTCTTTCTCCCACGGAACAACTGATAGTTTCGAACTGCTAACTTTTCCGATTCGTAACCACTACACTACCAAAGCTCCTTAGGGTTTCTGAGGAGCGGCTGGTAAGCTTGCACTTTGTTTTAGAGAACTCCAGTGCCTCCCACATAAAGTATGTTAATTTCTGCCTGCTCTTCTACAAATATTGTTGTTGTTGTGTGCCTTGGAGTCGTTTCCAACTTATAGTGACCCTATGAGGTTTCTGAAGCTGTAAATCTTTACGGGAGCAGAATGCCTCATCTTTCTCCCGTGGAGCAACTGGTAGTTTCAAACTGCTGACTCTAAGGTTCGCTGCCCGATTTGTAAACACTACATTACCAGAGCTCCTTTTCTACAAATATAAGGTGGCATAAAATTCTAAATGTTACATCTCTGTATATGTATTGCTTTGATGTAGATCACTGATTTATTCTACAAGGAGCCTTAGTGATGCCATGGTTAAGTGCTTGGCTGCTAACCAAAAGATCAGCAGTTTGAACCTACCAGCTGCTTCAAGGGATAAAGATGTAGAACTCGGTTTCCTTAAAGATTGCAATCCCTCTAGGGCAGTTTTGCTCTGTCCTGTAGGGTTGCTATGTCAGAATTGCCTCACTGGCAATAGTTGAGCCACATTCTATACCATTTCTTCTTAATTAATCTATAAGTTCCTTGCATCAAGGGTATTAGTATACTGTCACTGTGCACTGGAGACACATAGTCTAAAGAGATGAGGAAAAAACAAGCAAATACCAACTTTCTAATTAGATGGTTAATTTTAAAGAAAACACGGTAGAATTGAAACTGCTAAGTATTGAAAGTAATTGTGATAATGCTTTTATATAGACATTAAAAATTTAGCTCCACCAAATATGTAAAACCAGAATCTTGGTGTGGTACTATAAGATAAGCACTGGACTCCCAACCGCAAGGTCCACTGTTCAAACCAACCAGACACTTCTCTGAAACCCTATACGGGGTTGCTATGAGTCAGAACTGACTCTAGAGCACTTAGCAACAACAACAATATATGAAACCTCCCCTCGTCTGTCAGTTTGTCATACTGTGGTGGCTTGCATGTTCCTGTGACTGGAAGCTATGCCACTGGTATTTTAAGTACCAACAGGTACACCCATGGTGGACAGGTTGCAGAGGACCTTCTACATTAAAACAGATTAAGAAGAAGGAGAAATGGACTAAGTTACTATAGCTGCACCTCAGTTTCTTGATCTATAAGAAAAACATGGGGAAAATAATAGTATCAGCCTTCAAATATTGGAGATATTGATTATTGCATACATTTAAAAATTTGTCCTCAATTTAACCATAGCTAT